GGGGGGGGGGGGGGGGGGGGGGGGGGGGGGGGGGGGGGGGGGGGGGGGGGGGGGGGGGGTGGGGGGGGTTGGGGGGGAATCGAGGACCACCCCGGGTGTCACGTTCTCTAATTATTCCGCGGCATCTCAAATGAGAATGGGGAATAATATCGATGAAGGATATGACCCCCCCCCCTTCAATGCTCCCTATCAGACAGTTTATAGAAAGAACTTTGATTCGTACATTTGAACGATATATTCCTTGTCAGTATGGAAAAAAAAAAACTACTGTATGCTTCGACTGGGCTGTTTGACCACCTTAGTGGTCGACAATCTATGGCTCGGGTGAAGGTCGTGGCACGCAGAGCTGATATCAATGACACGCGAAAGACCCCCCCCCCCAATAATAATAATAAATGACCAAAAACTGTGCGTCATGTGTGGTTGACTTAAAGGCCAGGAAATGAGAAATGGGAAATGGGAAATGGGAAATGAGAAATGGGAAATGAGAAATGAGAAATTGGAAATGGGAAATGAGAAATGAGAAATGGGAAATGAGAAATGGGAAATGGGAAATGAGAAATGAGAAATCTTTCTTTTGTCAAACGCTTACCACAGGAAGTAGGAAACACTGGGTGCCGAAAGACCTGACTTTCCTCTAACACCATGACGTGTGTATTGCTTCAATGTGATCGCAGCTCTCTCCTTATTTAAAAAAAAAATATTAACCAAAGGCAGTCAGCCCCTGGGATACATCACACCAACGATAGCTGGTTTACAGCAAGCCAGTTACTCCAAACAAGACTGACCTTTGACACATCACACCGCCATTGTCATAATACAGAGACGTCAAAACTACTGAGAAGGACGTAGTTTATTGAAACATGTTAACCATAGTTCATTGTCACTACTGAAATCCCATCGAGGCGTTTGTGGAAGCTGAATTTTTTTTAATAATTTTGATAAAACTGTAATAAATATTACTTCACCGTCTTTCGATTCAGCATTCAGAACTTTATCTGGACCTGGAAGGAGCCCTGTCAACGCTGGGAAGTTTTTCTTTATAATCATTAGAGATTTGTATGAAAAACTGAAAGGTATAGGCTATGTTTTATTTTTTAATACTATATTTAAAAAAAAAATTATTTCAGATTAAAAGAAACATTATAAATTATAAATATATCAGTCAATTGAAGTTCATGTTAGTGTATGCGCCATGTTAGTATATGCGTCATTTTAGCGTATGCGCCATGTTAGAATATGTGCCATGTTATTATATGTTCCATGTTAGTGTATGCCCCATGTTAGTATATGTGCCATGTTAGTGTATGCCCACGTTAGTATATGTGCCATGTTAGTGTATGTCCACGTTAGTATATGTGCCATGTTAGTATATGTCCACGTTAGTATATGTGCCATCTTAGTGTATGCGCCATGGCACCGGTCCGAGAACAGGATTATTTATAATACAATTTTAAAAAAAAAAAAACAATAAGTAATCCATTCGGCGCCGGTATCTGGTGCGATGTCAAGAATTGTCCACCGGTCAGTCAAACAGAAAACTCCGGGGAAACAGCTGATTGTTGGTGTGATTTCTCGGACGATAATTTTTGAGAAAGCCCTGGTCCTCTATGATGGTTTAGTGGGGAAAAAAAGGAATGCTTGTTACTAGAGCGCTCAGGGGTGACGACGACTGAACGTCTCTAAGTCAGAGTCCCGCACCACCGGTTGGCCTCTTCGTGGCGTGCCTGACTAGCAGGGGGGTTCTCCTCCCGAAGCCGAAAACCCCGGCCACTTGCATGACTTCCAACGCAACGGGAGGAACGCAATGACATGATGACTTGTTGCCGTTGATGGATATGAGGTCTGGCTGGCGGTTAACCCCTTCGAGTTTGTGAGATCCATAGAGTTTGTGAGATCCACAAAATTTGTGAGATCCGTAGAGTTTGTGAGAGCTATAGAGTTTTTGAGATTTATAGAGTTTGTGAGATTCATAGAGTTTATGAGATTCATAGAGTTTGTGAGATCCATAAGGTTTGTGAGATCTATAGAGTTTGTGAGATCCATAGAGTTTGTGAGCTTGTAAAATCCATAGAATGTAATTGTGAGGTCCATAGAGTTTTTGAGATCCATAGAGTTTGTGAGATCCTTATAGTTTGTGAGATCCATAAGGTTTGTGAGATCCATAGAGTTTGTGAGATCCATAGAGTTTATTAGATCCATGGAGTTTGTGAGATCCATATTATAGAGTTTGTGAGATTCATATTATAGAGTTTGTGAGATCCGGATGTTGGGACACCATGATATTACTCACTGGGTTGAGCCAAATATAGTGACGCATGTGAGAGTAACAAAAAATTGACGCCTACTTAAAAAAAAAAAAAAAACATTTAAAAGACGAGACGTGGGCGCTAGCTGCCGTGCCATCTGTAACCACAAGCTATTGTGGGCCATTCGCCATTACACGGGCCAGTTCCAGTTACAAATATATAAAATAAAAATAAATTTTAAAAACACGCTTAAGACATTTTATTTATGCCAGTCGAGCCCTCATTACCCCCATGATCTCAATCTTTACCTCATTTGGGGGATTTGTCTTTTACTAGATATTCTTCAACAACAAAACAATAAATTATAAGATACAAAAATATGTGAACACCAACAAATTTATTGAGCGATTTGTCCATTGGTTCCACCATTTCCCTCAAACAGGTTAAACGTACGTTTGCATCCTTTTATAACTGTTATAAAAATGAATAATGTCATGTTTTTTTTTAAAAATATTATATGTTCGTTGTTTTTTTTAAGAGTCTCTGGGGAGGGGGGTGTACGTGTAGCTAATTTATGCCCCCACATGCCTGATATAAACACTGGTAGCAAACAAAAAATGGATTTTGTAAAGTATCAAAATAAGCGAGCAATAAGAAGTGGTGGTGCGGCTTAAAGTAACGATCGGCCTATCTTTGGAACAATATGGCATTTAGAATAGAATACTCATGCTGTACAGGTATCCATATTTGCCTTAAATATATCGGATAAACAAATATATTGAGGGTAATGGAGCGATATTTCATTACTTCCCTTATTTCACTAATTTGATTAAAAGCGTTATAAAAATGACAATTTAGTAGTCTTTTTTTTTTTTAAAATAGATTTTATATTCGCTTTCGTGGTGTTTATTTTTTCCCGGGGGGGGGGGGGGGGGGGAGAGAACTGCCGCCCCGCCCCCCCCCCTCCCGGAGAGCTGCCTGAAAGAAAAAAAATGTATCGCTGAGACGTAACAATTATCCATAAATTATTTAATTTCGTTGGTGATTTTTGGTCTTTTGGCGGGGGTGGTGGGGGCAGAGGCGTAGCGAGGGTGTTTGGCGCCCGGGGGACAAGATTTCCATTTTAAAGCGACCCTTTTTCTTTTTTTCAACTCTCAAGCCCATTATTTTCATCAATAAAATAATATCAAAGCACATTTTGGCGCCCCTAACTAGCTGGCGCCCGGGGACATCTGCCCCCTGCCCCCTCGCTACGCCTCTGGGTGGGGGGGTGGGAGAGAGCTTCTTGTACGTGCGAATATGGGGTGGGGTATAAAAAGTACACGTGCAACTTGACTTTTTTGCGTATTTACAAAATGAATGACCCGTTAGCTACAAAAGGGTCTTACTTCGTTATGGCTCGAGTTCTGCAGAAACGCACGGGAATGGCGTTCCTTTGCTTTTTCTGCTAAGAATTAAATACATACATATTTATTTCGGAATGGAAAAAAAATGTGGGGGGGGGGGGTCTTGGATATGCTTAAGTGTCCACATGGTTTTCCCTTCCCGGCCTCAACTCCTATGAAGACGCCTGGGTGGGGAAAGGGGTTATCGCACAGGGAGGGGGTGTTGTTCAAAATATCTTAATCATGATAGACTGGGACGCAACGTTCATTTTTTAGATTAGTTACGCTACAGGGTTTCTAGAGCGCCAAGAATAGGTGTCAACACGCCAACAGAATTGAAAGTACATTTTTCTTGTGACTTGTTGATTTGACTAATTCAAATTTCATTCGTATTAGTATAAAAATAATTTTTGTACTTTGAATACTTTAAAATTAATAAACCACAATTACAGAAAATTATTTTACCCTGAAAAATTTGTACAATAAAAATAATTTTTAAAAAAAAGAACAAAAACACTTAAGAACGATTAATTGTAATAATTGTTTAAATTTCTTTCTGCTCACTTACTTCTACTTTTGAAGAACACCTAATGAAAATAAAAACAAGCACCATATCAACAAAGACTGAAATGCAGACAATTCAAGAACAGACACGTAGTCTAGCCATTGCTTTTTTAAAACTTAAACGTTTTTTTCTGTTTTGAAAAAGCAGACATGGTAATTATAATTTTAAACATATGTTGTCCTAAATTAATAATTCCCTGACAGTTTCGACGCTTGCCGTCTGACGCCTAGTGCTGAGTTTCATTCGGCTTCATTGATTAAACGAAGTGGCTGGGACCCGGGTAACAGAAGTGAAAGGTTGGGATTAAAAAATATTTAAAATTATAATTGTTGGGTTTGTGAGATAAATTTTGATATCAAATGAAAGATAATTGAATGGACTACATGTTTGTAAACATACTTCTTCAGTTTAACTAAAATAAACTAACAAAAATGACATCCGAATAGCATTTAGTATTAATCTAAAAAAAGTCTAAAGGGACCCCCCCCCCCCCACCTCCAAATAAAAAAAAAATATGTATCATTTATGACAATCAGACAATATTTAAACTTCACGTCAGGTACCTACCCTAAGCTGTTGACTCAAGTAGACTGTTGTGTTCATATATTTTGTATGGCAGTCAACTATTTTCATTATTTTTAATCATTAAATTAAACAATTTTTGAAACATGAATTACTGTCAGACAAGGAACCTAGAATAAACACTTATGTTTAAAAGGCATTTATAGAATACCTTATGTGAACCATTCAAGGAAACTTAAATGACAGCTTATGTTTGACATGTTAAGTAACACATCAATTTATTTTCTAGATGTCAAACCTTGACGGATCAGATGAACAAGCATCCCCTTGTAAACGATTGTGTATCAGACCAAATGGTGATACTACTTCACCAGATGTTATACAAAATGGAATTAACTGGCAGGATTGGAATAATGATCAACTGATTTCAAAAATGCGAAGCGAGGGCTTGGATGAGAACATCGTACTCATTTTTGAAAGTAATTTATTATAACACACTGTTTTAAAATTCTTTTGTAGTGTTAATGTTCTTAAAATGTGTACTAGTAAAGTGGTCTTCATGGAATAGTGCTGGTCCACTAGTCTTACATTCCCAGTCTGCACAACGTTAGTATTTTTTGTCAAATACGATGAAAATGGGAAAAAAATAATTTATTTATTTTTTATATCTTATTTTTATTTGACCATAAATATCCATGTGGTGCAGACCGACAACATAAGGCTCAAGGGGCGGCTCCGTTTGATGGACCACCGTTTGAGAAACGGTGCTCTAAAATACTAATTTTGAGTATAACTAGTCTCTGCTTTGAAAATATTAAACCTTACATTGAGCAATGAGAGTGAATCTTTTTATTTAAACAAACTAACCTCAAACCTCAATGTGTATGCTTGATTTTGCTGATTAATCAGCGGGAGCCTTTTTTAAAACTGATTTATCAACTGATCGTTTTGTGATACCACAAAATGACTCCGGTATCCAGATGGATGTAAATCTATGGGGTTTTGATAGAATCTTGTTTATTTTATTAATGTCATTTTTCTCACATTTGTACCATTTAAGTTTCTATTACCAATAATATCATGATTATTGTCCTTTTCAGATTATAAATCTACTGGTAGGGATCTGAAAGGCCTTACTGTAGATGCACTAATGACAATGGGAGCAAAGTGAGGAATAACTTACCATTTTTTTCTTTAGTGATTTGTAAAATTTTAATTGCATAAAAATCCCAATACACCAAAGATGACCAGAAAATTGCTTGATTGATAAATATCTAGGATGCCAGGAAAGCTGTAGCCATATTATGATTGTACTCTAGAGACCGCATCATAGTACAAATGATTATTACTGCTAGCTAAATAGATACATAATGAAATTTTTCCCCATGATGTATAGTATTGTGTTCTAGTTTTTTAATATATCTATTTTTTTCTATTTCTAGAATAGTTAGTTTTCTATTTAAGCAAACTATTTTTAACTTTTTATGAGGAACTTCAGATAATTGGGTCAGCCTTTCAACTGAATGAAAACATCATTTAGTTGAAGCCACAGTATTTTAGAATTACTTTATTTTCAGATGCTATACAAGTTTTAAGTAAAAAATACTGATAAACTAATAGTTTCCAAAATAATAGCTTGGTAGTTTCATGTTACATAAGTGTATACGCTTGTAAAAAAAATGTTAATTTTTCTTAAACAGGTCATATATTGATTGCATGAGCATTCTTAAAGTCCTGGGATCCATTGGGGCTGTTGATAAGCTGGAAGAGAAATACTCAAAAGTTTGTACATCATAGAATAGCAATAATCAGTGCGTTTTTTAAAAAAAGGGAACACTTTGGATAATGACTGGTCAATGTAGAGTGTGTCTTGAAGCCTTTGTTCGAGCGAATGGTGGACACTTCAAACACAAACTATAGTTTAATAAAATGCAACATTATGTTAGAATTAAAATTGAGTTTTGGAATTTAAAAAATTTTAGAAATATTTATCATTAGTTTTCGTCAAAATCAAAAGGAGTCTCATTTTGTGTTCCAGGCACAGTGTATTTATTTATATTTAGGTCTGTTTATTTATAAGCAAATGAAAAATAAGTTTTATTTTTATCAAACAAATGGATTGGCCTGAAATAAATATAAGCTTTTTGTAGTAATTGAGATAACAATATATATATATATATATATAAATATATTTAATAACAATATCTTCTGAGCAAAAGTGTTTAATTATGAAGAAAAGTTGATTGAATCACCACCCCTTAAATTTCTTATTGGCCAGGTGTTTAATGACCCGATCCATGGTCACATTGAAGTCCATCCAGCTTGTATAGCCATCATTGACACACCGCAATTTCAGAGGCTGCGATATTTGAAGCAGCTTGGGATGTGCTACTTTGTCTTTCCTGGGGCAGCACATAATCGATTTGAACATTCCTTGGGGTAAATGTAAAATCTTGAACCTACATAAAATCTAATTGTTATTCAAATCATAATTGAACAATTTTTTCCACGATATGATAGCCTTTTAAGAATTTTAACTCTGATTATCATAATGAAAGAACCGTATTCTGTAAATTTATTTTAAATTATAATTTTTGGGGATTCCTAAATAAAAAAAACCATGATTCAACTTACTTGGAATTTACAAATTTACCTTCAGTTCTGAGAGTATCAGTATTAGCTTGCAGTCAAATTTTTAAAAACTTTTCTAAACATGGGACATAAAACCTTTTGTCTACAGTGTATATTACCTGGCAGGTCAGTTTGTGAGGATACTGCGCCAGAATCAGCCTTATCTTGGCATCACAGACAAGGACATTTTGTGTGTGGAGATCGCTGGCCTGTGCCATGATCTAGGTGCGTTTAATTGATAAATGATTTAGTTTTGTAATCATTGTAATATTTTATTGAAATGTCCCAGCTTTCCAAGAAAGAAAAAATTGTTTGTAATTAGTACAGATAATATCTTTATAGAAAAAGAGTGGATTTATTTAAACTAAATTAAATAATCTTGTTATCATTTGTTTTCTTGTTTCTGCAGGATTTTATATTCATTTTTTTAAAATTTCTATTTCTTTTGTTAAAAGGTCATGGCCCATTTTCTCATTTATTTGATGGCAAGTTCATGCCTGCAGTAAACCCTGCAAGGAAATGGAAGGTAAATAGATTGACCTCCCATTTAGTCAAGTAAATCATACTTAACTAGTCACTCTTAGGTGGGAGTTTGTAGTTAAATTGCTCATGTTTTTTTAAAGATACTTTTTAAAGTGTATTTAACAACTGAAGATTCAAAATGTTATATCCAGAATGGCTTGAAGTTTCTTACCAAGCAAGTTTAAAAGGTGGTTCTCTTGCATTCACTCTTATACCTGAAGCGTTCTTAAAAGAAGCTAATCTCAACTGTAATAGTAAAATATGATCCCAACTCGTCTCTGTAAAAACCAATCTTTATTCTACACTCTATTTATACCTCACATCACATGATGTTCACGCCTTTAAGTTTAAACATTAATGAATGAAGACAACTCACCACGTGCAGTCATACCAGTCATACCATATGACAACAACACAGGCCAATCGGGTCACAAAGTTCACTCAATACACACAAAATTAATCGTCAGTCATACATACTATCTCATCAACCAATCATGATTATGATGATAGATTTAATGAAGTTTTTTTTTTTTTCTTAAGGCAGGTCTCTTATGTTAAATATTATAAAGCTAGCCATTTGCTTTTAGTTAGCTGGGTTTTTTTTTTTAAATATTATTTATAATACATCTCATCTAATAATCATGATTATGAACCTGTCCATTAAAGTTTTATTATTTTTGCCGTAGAGAGTGTTTTATCAAAACATTATTGTAAGGACCAGGTGGCAGAGAAGCTGGTTATATTGTCCTAACTCTGCCATTTCCCTCAAAAGTGAGGTACAATGTTTGCTGCTGTGAGGGCTTTCAGGGGCCTTTTTTATTGTCACTGGCCAGTCAATGATACTCCACTAGTAAAGGATAATACATGAGGGTCTGGGTTCAAGCTATGTGAAGGAAATATTGGAACAAGATATGTTTAAGCTTGAAATGAAAAGACAGGACAAATAAAGGGACTTTCGGCTAAATGCCTTCTACAGCAGACAAGACAAAGCTAGAAAAAAAAAATAGAAATAAAAAAACGTGTGTGTTCGAAGATCTCAAGTAGCTCTTTGTTTAGAAACGAAACTGTTTCACCAGTAAAATCCTTGGGTAAAATTCAATAGTAAAAAAAATCTTCTCAGAGTCGCAACTCAATCTTTACGATTAAAAAATAAATATCTTCAGCATGAAAAGGCTTCACTGGACATGTTGGATTACTTGATTGCTGACAACCAACTGATGGAACCAGGTGGCGCTCTGCACCAATATGGAATCGACCAAACTGATATAATTTTTATAAAAGAACAAATTTATGGGCCTCTTGATGTAAGTTATTCCATTGTTTCATTTTGTTTGATAAGGGGAATTTTCTTTTAAAAAATGTATTCTTGTATATAAGACTTTTTTAAAACAGTTTTAGTGCCCTGCAAACATTGTAAACACGCTCTGAGTTTTTGTCAGTCTTATTACTGATTGGGAGAACCACATGTAACCAACCACATGTAACCAACCACATGTAACCAGCCACTTTGTATGGTTCTGAACTTTTCAGACATTTTAAATTTTGGATCGGTGTTGTTGTTTTTTTTTTTAGGATTAATACGAACTTAGCTAGTAGAATTCGACAGGATTTTTACCATAACAAAGATAACAATGTGGGGAAATGTTCAATTCCCATTATCTTTGTAAAACTGTGCAGCAGTGTTTTATCAATGTAGTTACTTAGACACTGTCTTTGTTGACATTCACGGAAATTGTAGAACTCAAAATACTGAAAATTTCCATCAAATTTGCAACAGACTATTTTTAATAACAATGAAAAAAACTCAAACAAGGATTTTCAGGAAGGAAAAAAAAATTGTACCATGAATGAAAAAAACCACAATTTATTTGAATCAATAAAAATATCTTATCTTATAACTTATGGTATCTTATCTTATCCCCCAGGGTGATGGCATCTTAAAAGGAAGACCAAAACACAAGCATTATTTATATGAGGTACTGGGTTAGAGATGACTTGTTTGAAAACTTTTTCTTTCTTCCCATACTGACAGAATCTTCATCTTTAGATTAAATTAAAATTGATAATATGAGACAGCACAAAATAAATGAGAATATAACTGGTGCCTTCAATTCTAATGAAGCTGTTTTTGCTATAAATAAAAGAGATGTGTCTTCCTTTCATTTTCTGCATATTGTATGAAGCATTTAATTGCTTGCCTAACATGAGTTTACCAAATTTTAAAGATGGTCCAATGCTGGTGAATTTTGATCTATAAAAATGTTCAACTAAAGAAATAAATAATTTTTTTTTTAAATCATAGAAATTTTTAATAATTAAACAGATATTTTCAAATTCTTTTTTAGTTCACAGAAGTAAACCTTTTCCAATTACCTTTTCCTGCAGATTGTTTCCAACAAACGTAATGAGATTGATGTGGACAAGTGGGATTACTTTGCCAGGGACTGCCACCATCTTGGCATCCAGCAAAACTTTGATCACTTTCGCTTCATGAAGTTTGCCAGAGTTATAGAACATGAGGGCTCATGGCAAATCTGTACAAGAGACAAGGTTAAAAGGCTTTCTGTGTTTATCACATACAACTTTTCATTTACAGCTTGCTTCACTAAACAAAATGGTCAAAATCGCAAAAAAAAATATTTTGCAGGAAACCACTCATTTTGAATTTTATTTAACTTGTCCAAATTGTTTTGTGTTGATTTTAAGTGTAAGATATTTTAAAGAAGTAAATTGTTATGCATTTAAATATTAATTTGGTTGCTGTTTAACTTAGAAATGTATCGCTAATTTAAAAACTTAAATTCTCCCTTACTCTTTTTTTGTAGGAAATTGGAAATTTATACAACATGTTCTATACACGCTACACATTACACAGAACAGCGTATCAACATCGAGTCAGCAGCGCCATAGAAACAATGTAAACAAATATTTTCAGATTATCTAAGTCCGTTTTAGGCAAATAAGATCTTAAGTTCAAATTTGCTCTTCTATACTTATGTCCCATGAATGAACAGTGGTTCCAGTTAGCTCTGTACAAACTGCTTAAAGCATTTATTTTTTAATTTATTAAATCAGATAACCTGCGCGTTTTAAGTTGTAAATTTTTTAAAGATAGTTTACAGCATCAATGCCAACTTTCCAGAGATGTAGTTATCAAGTTGTTATCATCTGTCTTGGGCACTAACTGTTAAGAACTGTAATTGTAAAGTTTTGATTAACCTGTTAAAGCAAAGACTTCACCCAACTAAATGACTTCGAAATCCTTCAGGGTGGCCCATGCTTTGATCAAAGCCAATGATCACCTAGAATTTTTCAGGAAAGATGGGTAAGTCTGGTGATCTTTTAATTTTTTTTTTTTTATCTCATCTTCTTTTTTAAGGTAATAATTTTTGTGTTGTTCATGAATTAAGAATACAGACAGATAAATATATTTCTGATTTTTGTAATTGAATAATAAATGAAGGACCGTGTTCAAGCCATGTGAAAGAAATAGTGAAACAAGGTATGTGGAAGCAATGAGATGGCATGTATGGCCAACTCCAAAAATTAAGTTTCTGAACTGTTTTCTATATCTACTTGTTTCTTGTTTTGTCCTTAGGCTCTTAGCCAAATTGTTCTCCCTTTATTGTCCTGTCCTTTGACTTCAAGCTTCCCGCATGCCTTGTTCCACTATTTACTGAATTGAATTTAGTTCATTAATACAATGGTTAATTGGTACTGGGATTTTCTTTCATGACAAGATAAATGATGGAAAAACCATATCAGAAAGGAATTGAAATTATAGTTGTAACATTAAAGAAATATTTAGCAAATAGGTTTACCAATTTTTTAAAAAATTTACCAAGTATTAGTGTCAGAAATAAAATTGAAACAAGTGGCTACCTGTAGTTTTAGTGGTTACTTACATTAGTGTTTCTGCATACTTCAAGGTATTACCTGTACAAAAAATACTTATCCATTGTTAAGTGCTCCCCTCTATAAGCCATTGATTGAGGCCTCAAAGACCTGCTGTTATAATCAAGCTTTCTCAACACTTCCCAGCACCACCTGTAAGATGTCAGAGTGCATAGATGACATGAGCGTCTACTCTGAACTCACCGATGAAGTCATATTTAAAATCCTTTACTCGGAGAGTCAAGAAAATGATATGAAAGAAGCAAAGAGCATAATACAACGTATATTTAACAGAGACCTCTACGTATGTGTCTGCCAAAGCAAACCTGTGGACGCTCAGAGTTTCAAATGGGTAGGCCAATCTCATTACCTTATAAGTTTGTGTGAATAAGGGATTTTTTTTCCCTTACCATTTCATTATTTATGAATTATTTCTTCCTTCTGATAACCCTTATCTTAGGAAATAACTTATAAGTGAAACAAAGTATGGGAAAACCTGAAAAGAACACAACAAAACAAGAAACATGTGGGCAAGAAGCCATCTTCAGCTAACAAACAACAGTACAAACAATATAAAAGTTAACATAAACAGCTTCAATGTAGTATCCGAGCATACAACAAGAGGAGTGTGATAGATCATTAGATGGCAAGAGGGCTAATGTAGGCAATAGGTGTTAGGAAGAGAGGAAAAGTAAGTCCAAGGTGATTGGTCGCAGGGGTCGGAGATTTAACAAGTGAAGGGGAACATGACATTTCCTCTCTTCCTCCCCCCTCTTTCCTGTCTTATCTACTAACGGTACATCACATTCCTCTTGCTGTCCTCTCAGATTTTACATTGAAGCAAAGTGTTTATTTTTATTTCTATTTTGTTTTTACTGCTGTTTGTTCATGTTGCATCCCTTTTCCAAATTTTCTCATGAATTGTTTCTCTTATTTCCTTATACCTAACCTGACTTCTTTCTCTCCCACTTATTTACTTATCGATGCTTATCTTAACCTTATTCCTATTAACTCTGTTTAGTTCATTGTTACTAGTCAACATTGTTGTATATCTGCTGCCACATTTAATGAATTGCTGTTAAATTCTTTTCATAGACTACAGATGAAATAAGGGCAGAAGTTCTTGAGAAAGCTAGAGCCGCTGAAGGTGGCCAAGTTACAGAAGCAGATCTTGTTGTACAGGTAAGTGTCGGTTATAATCCAGCTCTGCAGACTCAACATTTACTTACCCTGGTCAAATTATTTATAATCTGAGCCATAACTTTGGTCCTCAGAAAGTAAAAAAATCATCTCCGCTTTGCCCAATCAAGTGTCACCATAAATTCACCAGTGATTGGATAACAATGTCATTTTCTCTGTATGCAACCCACGATGAAAAGTAAACATTGCCTCCACTATTTTTTCAGATCACGTATTTGGATTTTGGCATGAAACACCAGAACCCAGTGGAGAGACTCTTGGTCTACTCTAAAAGTGAACCAGACAAAGCCAGATATCTGCCCAAGATTGAGGTCATTGCTACTACTATTGCCACTACTATTGTCTAATTCATCTATTTTCACTCATGAATATATAACATTACTTATACTTATATAGCAGGGTTTCTGGGTTGCTAGCAGGAGCTGCCAGGTGGCATTTCAAGGGGTGTGAATAAGAACAGAGGAGAAACATTAGCTTTCCAAGTTATGATGCAAATAAATAATTTTTTAAAATTGTCTTCCTAACATTTTCTTTTATGTAACAAGTCACAAGTTCATTTTCTAAGATCTTCAACTGTCTTTGCAATTCAATAGTAAAAAAAATTAGAGGTCCATTTATTTTCAAATGAATTATTGCCTTTTTTAGGGTAAGCCAGACTTAGTAAAACAATCCCTAGGGGGTGTGGGACTAGTCAAATAAGTTTTTAGGGGGTGCGGAGGATAGAAAAGGTTGGGAAACGATGATTTACAGTAAACTAACGTGACCTGCAATCTCAACCTGTTTCTATTAAATATAACAGGCAAGTCGTGTTTTAGGCCCACTAACTTTCTCAGAGCTGTTGATTCGAGTGCTCAGTTGCAAGAAAGAGAAGTCTTCAGCCATTGAGAAGGCAGCCAAGCAGTGGTGTGAGGAAAAGCTCATGAAATTGGTATCGGTAAGTTAATGAATCTTTTTTGTGTATACTTATGAGGAAGTAGACCTGCTCATCTAATGCCCCATGTCTTATTTATTACAAAGTTTTCTCCAAGTTGTTAACATGTTGTCACGGTCAAATCGCATGATTCTGTCTGTTTTGCTGATATTGAGCATTGAGTGAGCCATAATGGGTTTTCCCTTTAGATTTGACCACAGTAAATCCCACAATTTGTCTCAGCCACTTATGACCATGGCGGTGTGTGGGAAAAAAAGCATGTAAGGAGAAGATTGTGTGAAATGAAAGTAGTGTTGAGTAGACAGTGACGAGTGCTGTTGATAGAGTGTATGATTTTTGTAGAGAGTGAACATTTTCTGCGGACGCAGGAGTAGGAGTGAGCTTTTAGGTGGATATAATTATTTGTTGTTTTTCTTATTCATTTTCAACCCACATGCATACAAAGGATTACATACATGAATATGAACTGTTTCACTGCTTTGTGTTATTTGATTCAGCACATCAGCTCTGTAGGGGCTCGAAAGAAAGGCGCTTTAGACACTTACTTTTGATTCTGTGGCTATACGCAGGCTACCGACCTCTAGACAAACGTACAATGCGTCACACATGTCTTTATTACAAAGTGTTATTTAGGTTGTTAACATGTGGTTCAAACCTGTAACAAATTTTATACCAACATTTACATAACCAATTAACTTTTCTTTAATAATTTTTACTCTTAGGTATTTATGTTCATTTGTACCAGTACCACTAGTAAACTGTCCATATTCCCATTAATTTAAAGACTGCTCTTGACTCGATCATCTTTGAATCCAAGTACTGTAGCTAAATAAAATCATAGGTGGCATGACTTAACTTTGGGCTACAATGTTGGTACCGGTATCAAAGCATGACACACAATATTATTTCTTAATCAGAACAGAAAAGCTTTATTATTTTTACTGCACTGGGAAACATATATACCGGTATATATAAATATAAGTATCCTCATTTTTAAACTTAATTGTATCAAACTTGCTCATATTTCCTCCAGGATGGTTGGGAGAATCAAATCCTGCTAACACCTCCCAAGGAACCGACAGAAGCAGTGGGTAACAAGACACCAGTCACGGCAGGCAAACAGAGGTCGCTGTTTTCAAGTTTTAGCACTGTACATATATAAAACTGTTTTTTAGGCCTTTCTCCAATATGTTTTATGCATGGAAATGAATATCAAATGTAAATTTAAATATTTTATCAAGGACTTTGAGACCATGCAATTTTAATAAAGGAATTATGTTTTTAAAATTGTCATTCCCCTAAAAATATTGTATAAATAGTATGTGCTATTCAGGGCAAAATAATTTGTATTAGAAATATAATATCTAAAAATAATGCACTTTCTTGTTTTGATTAAAATTATTTCTTCTTCTTCTTCTATATCTTAAGGGCCCACGATCAATTTGATTGCACAGTTCAAATTTTGCTGGTTGAAAATAAACTTAACTTTTCCATTTTTTCCAACTTTAAATTAGATCTAGTTATAATTGAATTAAATAAGCATGTTATTTTATTTTCTACAAAATTTTACAAATTTTACAGAATATATTCACATGATGGTTTAAGATCTTTTCGCTCCCTTGTTCTAATCCTGAATGTTCCCTCACTCACCAAAATCGGACAGAGCAATGAGACTCTTTCAAACTCCTCAAATAATAAGATATTTTCTGGTAAGATACTTATGGTTGAGAGGCTTTCATAATTTTGTTTAACACGGAAAACACTAAATAAATGACTATTTGAAGAATCCAACCCTGGAAACAAAATATATAAATATGTTCAGCATTTATTTATTCTGGCATTAAATAAATTAATACGGCTTGCATTTTAAAAAAATTTTTTTTTTTTTTTTTTTTTTTGTGAATTGAGGTCATTATGTTTTTATGTTTGATTTTATGCTCAGTGTTTTAATTAATACCGAAATGTATAAATCTTCACAATGATACAAAGTGGAATATAATTTCCAATTAGCAAAGTAAAGGAATTTTGGTACCCAACAAAATGAAAATATTTATTGACATAATAAGGATGGCACAGAGGCTTGCCTTAATCATAATAAAACTCCAAATTGAAATAAAACGATTTCAACTTGCTTTTTTTTTTATATGATGCTGAACTTTGATGTAAGGAATAATGAAATCCATTTTAAATCATTACTCAGTGATATTAAAGATTTCTAAATCATTTCATATTTAAAAAGTATTTTATGCTGAGAATATAGAAATCCATCTTTGACAATTAACTAGTACACATTTTTAAACCATTTCTCGATGAAATAGTGATGCTTATAAAGTGTTCCTTTTTAATTAAGCGTGATGCATTTTTTTTTACCTCAAAAATTTATTGAACTTGAACATAATTTTTTTATTTAAATACAAAATTTACATTAAAATAAGAATGTCATATCATCTATGAGATATTTAATTGATCATATACCTGGTAAATATAATATTTATTCTCACAAACTTTTTAAAATAAAAATTGATCAGAAATGTAAGAGCATTTATTTTTGTGCTAAATTTTATTGCAAACACAAAGGCATTTTATTTTATATTTATATCAAATCCACAGTGTGGGAAAACACTTGAACTGTATAACTAATTTGTTTAAACCTATGGAAAACACTTTCTCCATTAATAATCAAAGCCTTTGTATTTATCTGTTTTATTTTTACTCAAGTTAGCCGAGTATCTCTAACCAGCAGCTTGTTTCTGATACAATTAAATGACATCAGCATTTTCTGAACACTGTGCCAAACTTTAAACTATTTATACCAATTGTAATATCCTGAATGATATGAAGATGCACGTTAGCTGTTTGAATCTCTACATGATAATTATTTTCTCCACGCTCACAATTTTTCTGTGATTCTGTTTCCTTTGTAACTGTAAGATCAGTGAATTATTATTACCTATATGTAGCTTTTGAATGTTTTATTGTACACAGATGAGATACTAGGCAGGCATACCACTTTGTCTCTTCTTTGAGAGAACTATGTGAATTTGCAGACAAGCTTTAAAGTGAATTAACCAGTTTTTGTTGCTTCACATTCTTTTTAGGACAATTTTATTTATAAAAATATATTTCAACACAGTTAAAATAATTGCCATATTAATATTAAATTATCATACTTTTCCGTTCTCCGACAATGATACCCATCATTAACGACGATTCAATTTCAGGAATGTGATATCATTTAGAATCATGTTATTTTTTCATTATTGCTAACAGTATAACTTAATCCACTTAAATTATTTGACCATGTCTCCAATTACTAGTATTAAGTATTATTTTTGTCCAAGTTGAATTAGTACTTGGTACAAAAGATAACTATTTGCTGCTAGATTTATTCCATTTTTTAAATTTTGCATCATAACATGATAATTTACAACAAAAGTTAAAAAGCCAATCTCAAAGTATTTATTTTTATCATCAGCTGTCTACATATTATTTGATTAATGTGTAAATTTATTCAAGTTTATATTTTATTTTTTGTTGATTTTTATTACCTATTACATGTCAACATATCAATGCACACCCATTCTTATTTTATTATGTATATAAATATTATGCATTTTTGCTTTAAGCAAGGCTTCTTTGCACTTTTTTTTTATTGCTTGGCTCATCTTAAAAGAACAAACTTCTCAACTAAACACATAATTATCCCACATAGTATAGAAAAGAGTTTTCATTTGTAGATTTATATAGCACTTAGCCACACCTCATTTTTTATTTTAATCCATTTTAACATTAAGGTCATCACTATTGGGATTTGTTTTTCACTTAAAATTACCCTGAAACATCAACATGATATTATCATAATCTCTTATCACATTATTTGTAGAGAGTTTGACTTATTCAATAAGAAATAATATTTACTATTAGCTCAGGTTAATTTCAGTATACTTATGTCTGATCTCCAGAGTTAAAAGATAATTTTAATCCTCATTTATTTGATTATTCATGTGAAATTTGCCTCTAATCTAGTGTATTGCTATCTGAATTAATATTTAGATCCTTTGTTTGATTTTATATTTGTTCACATTCTTAGAAAAAATATAACAAAATGAAATGCATGTAATATATTTTATCATGAAATCTCACAATTTTATTGTTGACTCTTTTAGCCAAATACACAATTTTCGCCAAACACAAAATGAATAGCAATTAATGAGTCATGTTTACAATGAATTTGGGTTAGCTAAAAATAGATGTGAATATTAAAAAATGGTATTGACAAGAAGCTTTTTCCTACAGTCCATCAATGTTTGTCTTAGATAAAGTGTTGACAGGCAATCAATTAAACGGATTGAAAATAATCTTTTAAAAAGTTTTCCTAGAATTTTTCAGCCTTATTTTTAATAGTTGAATGAGGAATATAGCTAACTTGCCTCACACATCTGTGGTGTTGTTTGTAACAGTTCATACATTAATTAAACCAGGGGTCTAAAACACTCACCTCCTATGAGGCCAGCAACTCTGTTGGCATCACAAATTGTAATTAAAGATAATAACACTTAACAATAACATGTATGGGTGGGCCATAAAACTTGTCCAAATGTTATACTAAGGGTGATATAAACTACAATTTAAACAGTGCTAAACTCTTATTCTGAAACACAATTATCCCATTTGTAACACTCAAAGTAACTTTAAATCTTGTAAACACAAATTTTGTCAAGGGTGTATGACATCCTTGCATAATTCCATTCAATGAAGTAAAAAATCCCATCCATACGGACATGTAATTTAAAATGACAAATTTTCCCATTTAAAATCCACGCTCATTCTCATCCTTATTCTCATCCTTGAAAATAATGAAGATTTTTTTCCCTCTGTATACCAAATACTTAACCTTCCTCATCATCCCCACCAAATGACAATAGAGAACTGTTCTTTGTCTTTTTAGATGTTGACTCTTTCTTTTTCTTTGATTCTTTTTGCTTCTTGGCATCTCCCGATGAATCTGTACTTGAGTCTGTTGTATCCTTAACACGTTTTGTGGGTTTCTTAAATGTTATCTTTTCATCCAACCTTGCTGGGCCTTAAAAGAAATAAGTTCGTAATTAGTTTTTATCAATCCCTTTTTTTAAGTTTAGTTTTTGTGAAAATATTTCTATTAGAAAGTGATACTCTCTTAGTTTCAATAAATTAATTTGCATAAAAAAATGACAAACATTTCTTTGATAAGCTTAGGAGCTATGGGGTTCAGGTCTAATGATGATAACATTTTAAAATGATGGAGGAACAGTTTTGTTAAGAGGGTTAATTCTTACCCTCATCTATTTGTTTCAGCTCACTCTCGGCTTCTTCAGCAGTCAGATCACCCGATTTAAGCACAACAACAATAGGCTGTTCATCTTCTTTCTCTGGCACATCATCATCTTCGCCATCTTCGTCAAAATTGGGAATCTGCCTCTGTGGTAATGAAGATAAATCAATAAGCCCAGTAACAGAAGTGTTAAGCAAATAAAAAACTAATCGCTATAAGGGTTTAATCTAAATAATGGTAAGATGTATTTGTGCTTTGCCGACTCATAGTTTTAATTGGGTAGGCTTTAACATATATGCCCCTATGAAAAAATAGATGTGTACTTTCCACCCATAGTCATTGTTGCCGCCTTCTTTCATTGTCTAGTATCACAAATGTTACGGCCTTCTTTCATTGTCTAGTATCACAAATGTTACGGCCTTCTTTCATTGTCTAGTATCACAAATGTTACAGCCTTCTTTCATTGTCTAGTATCACAAAAGTTATGGCCTTCTTTCGTTGTCTAGTATCACAAATGTTACGGCCTTCTTTCGTTGTCTAGAATCACAAATGTTACGGCTTTCTTTTGTTGTCTAGTATCACAAATGTTACCGCCTTCTTTCATTTGTCTTCACCAATGTTTACGAATGTTAACCAGCAGACACATTAACTGCTCGACAGTTAGATAGACCCTACATCATCTAGGGCCTAAGTCCTACGTCGTCTAGAGCCTAGGGTGACAACTGTATACTAATACTAAAGTATGTTTAACTTGCCTGTCACACCATGTCCACAATAAAGAGCAAAACAACAGCGTCCAATGAAGATAACAATAACAGTTCTTTATTTACAGGATCCAAACAACAAATGTCAATTCACAACGTTGAATGAAGATAATAATAACTCTCTTCTCTCCAACTACTCTCAGCTCATCTCCTCTGACTCATCGGCGGAACTCTTACTTCACGTCTAACTAACACACTGCCCTTTTATATCCCAACCAAACACTCAGCATACCCTAAAGCTCAACACCACATACCAACTTCACGCTGACCTCACGATCAACAACTCACAAAAACACTTGTGATCAACAACTCCCCCTACCCAACATTCCCAACAATCTAGCCTCCCTGAACTATTACAAGTGAAATGCTGATGATGCTCATTAATGACAACCATTTTAGTTTTATTAATTTGTTCACTAAAATACTTATACCTGCCCTGCCCAAAGTGCTGGAGTAAAAATATATAACAACTTTAAAGGTAATAAACCAAAAGCCTGTCCATCCCATATTTCTTATAACTTGTCCTGTTTTTTATCAATGCAAATCTTTTACTTAAGGATAATTATTAGTCTAATGCAGGCCTTCTTTACCCACTGCCCATACCTCTAAAAATGGTCTCCCCTCTGAAGTTAAAGTTAAATAATTTTTTAAAATTTATTTAACAAAAAGTGTGCGTCTGTGACGAAAAATAAAAAGGAAGATTTGTGTAATAGCTGAAACTGAAGCCAAGAACTTTTGATGTTTTTAATTAGACTTAACTTATTTAGTGAAGTTGTCTTAGTCTTAATGAATGAAGAAGAAACTAGAACTAGACTTGACAAAGAATTGACTTTCAAAGATTGAATTAGATTGTTTTTTGCAAAGACGTAAGATAGGGTTACCAGATGTCCGTATTTAGTACGGACAGTTCGTGTTTTCTACCCCCTTGTCCGTACTAATTTTTGCGTCCCTATTTATACATACTTTGCTCTCATCGTCTGGCTTGTCAGTACTTTTGGCAGCGAAGACTTGCTTATCTTATCTTATCGCAAAGGCAAGCCCAGTGAATAATTTCAGCTCCATTATTAGACAGTCCAAAAATAGCATATTTATATCTCCAATGCTGTAAAATATCACGCAATGTTGTGTAGGAATTATCGTCATAATGTTGCCATTTCTTTTCACAAATGAACTAGCTAGATATCCTTTCAACAGTACTCAGTAGTAGCAGTATTACAGTAAGATTTTTCCCACCGTATCTTCAATGTGCTAGTTCAGTGGTTCCTATAATGTTTCAATTCACGGTGCTCATGCTAAATTTAGGTTTTCATCATTCTTTTGCTGCCCTCTGGGATACTACTTTTCAGTTAAGTGCTATTTTATTTTTATTCTGTTTTTACTGTTGCTAATTCGCTGAGGAGGAAATGCTGCACCTGGGGCGAAGCCGGTGACGATTTTTGGCCCCCCTCGTCTATCTAAAGTAGATGAGATTTGATATTTTAATTCACTATTAAGATCATATCTAAAGAAGGTTTTGGTGCCCACTGTGACTACCCTCTTTGCCCCATTCTCATGGCTCTGCCAGAGGGCAACATGGCACCCAGAGCGATGCGGTGTATATTATTATTTATTATGGGGACCACAGGGCTAGCCAATCTGTCGGCGGTATAAATAAGCTATGCATATTTTTTTATTCCTGTAAGTCACAATTATCTATTAAAAATTTTTATGGGGGTGGGGGCTGAAAACTTCTTGTACATACGAGTTCTCTGGTTCTGGTAGGGTATGTTGCTGAATCCATGTACTGACATATGTGCAACGGTTGGGGAAGCGATGCTGCTATCCTAACGGCTCCTAGCGGATGCCAGGGCAGCCTTGAAGCTCTGGATTGATGTTGAGTCCAAAGCGCTCGATGGCGGCATTGTGCAGGTGGTTCCAAGCGATTATTGTGCAGTGCATGGGAAGAATGATTGTAGTTTATATGGGGTTTTGTGATGGGGGGTGGCCCTCCACCCCCACCGGTATGGTTCCGGTTGCTGTGGGCCTTTGTGTCCGTACTTGGCATCCAGAAAATCTGGTAAGCTAAGTTTACTAAGTAATTAATAAAGAAATAGTAATAGTATTGTAATTGTATAGTAATAGTAAAGTAATACTAATTGTTAAGTCTGAAAGTAAATAAGTAAAGTGAACATTTCGAGAAGTTATTTGTTCTACCTTTGTATTTACATCTGGACCATCTTTGTGACCGATTTTCTCTTTGAATTGCTTAATAAAAGCTGGTTCTTCATTATTGACATACTGAACCCCTTTCCGAGGCATTTAATTTGATTTTGCAGTGGCGGAGACCGTTCTTAATTATTACTTTATTATTGTCAATGAAAAACCTCAAGAGTTACTTTTCCTATCAATGCTCCTTAGTTAATAAAATTATTCGAATTTTTATTTGTCTATTAAGGGGCAGAGCACTCCCTTTTCTTAACATGCAAACTCCCGGGAAAAAAATTGTTACATAACTAGAAAATATACTGTATTATATAGACTATATGTTGTGTAAAGACACCAGCGTCAGTGTTCAATTATTGAATTCAGTGTTATTTCACTAGGTAATGTTTATTGTCTTTTAAGGACAGTAAATAAAATTGTTCAAGGTATTAAGTTTTTTTGGCACTAAAAGTAGTAACTTTAACTTAGTTTAGTCTGAGTTTAGTAACGGGCGGTAGGCACTATAATATAACTATAATTATGATTAAATTACTTATTAAATTACTATACTTAACTGACTTAACTATAAAATATATTATATTAAATTAAATTTAGGCATTATAAAGTTACAAAAAAGTATACGGCAAGGAATAAGGAGCTAAACTAATACTATATAATATAAGAATATACGGGCACGGCTATCGTCTAGTTACGGTTATACTAAGGCTAAGGTAATAATTTTAATAATAAATAAAAATAAAAATTATAGAGCACATTACGGCTATGGTATTTTATAAGATTTTCTTGCCAGAATGCTTAGCTGTTGCTTGGCTTAATAAGCATTTTTTGTTGTTGTAAAATACAAATAATTAGGCATAAATAGTATAGTCACTATAGTTTGGCATTATGTCTGATTAGGGAATTAGGCATAGAAATAGAGTTGATAGACTACTATGATAGAGAATAATTGAATAGAGAGACTACTCTCTCAAATAATATAATAATAAAAAATGTGGCAATAATAAATATGAATTCCAAACACTCTCTCTAACTCTAATTATATTAATATTATAATTATTATTAAATAATGATGCTAATTTTCTTATTCAACTCCTCTTGATGAATAAATTGATTTTGTGTCAAATTTCTTAGTAATAAATAATTTAATAAATACTATTGCCATTGCTATTAGTAATCTTAATCTTACTGAACTTACTGCTTACGCTACTTAATACTTTTTGTAGGTAACGGCCTAATTAATAGTAATAGCCTAGGCATTTATTTTTATTTTTATAATATGGATTTTAATTTACCAAAGTCCTTGCCTTAATTATTTAAACCTTAGCCCTTGGCCTTAGGCCTAAGTAAACAGACTCCTAGACATAGTGATCAAATTTATCTAAAGAATTCAGTAATTTCAATCAGCCATTTCAAAAAATGAGTTATTTTTACTTTATTAATTATTTAAACAATTAGCCTAATTAAAATAAAATAGGCTTAGTCATCATCAGTAGGGGATTGTAAATAGCACAGTGCAACTACCAACTACTGCACCCCCTATTTTCAAAATTTATTAATAACATGCAGTATAATCAGTGTTTCTTTCATAAATTTTCCCGGAGGGGGGGAGCACTTCGGACTTGCAGGGGGCCCACTTCAGACTTTTGTGGGGGGGGATGTCCGTTGCAAAAGGTGTAGCTAAGGGGTGGCAGATGGGACATACGTCAGACTTGTGGGGGGATGAGCAAAAATGGGGTTTGATGGAATGAATTGGTTGAAAATAATGGGTTTCAGAGTTGGAAAAAGGGGGGGGGGGGTAAAGTAGAATACTCCCCCGAAGCCAAACACTGTAGATTCACCCCTACTAGTGGTGTCCAAATAGGGCGGATTGAGTGGTCCACCCAGGTGTCACTTTTTCTTCATATGCTGGTGTGGCATTTTTGGACAAATGCAGAGTTTGAATCGTGAAAGGGAGGACGTCAAAAATATGCATAATTAAGGGTGCTAGTGACAGTCGTACAAACTCAAAATGCAGTGGTGCATTATTTTGGCGCATACTTGAATTAGTTGTTTTTATCAGACAATTTTGAGGTGGCATTTCAAACTTTTGGGTGGGAAATGGCAAAATTAGCCATAATAATGACCAAAGACAGCTTAAATTTCGCACCAGTGGGACGTAAACTATATTCACTCTAGTTATGTCACCCTTGAAGATACGCTTTGGCCCTAGATTATTCTTGGCCCTTAAATCATTATAGACCCCAGAAAATTTGTGATAAATTCAAAATACAAGAATGTATTTTTTCACTTATCAGAATTTAGTTTTGCAACACTCCTTACTTAATTGGAGAGCAACTGAAGAGATCCTTGTTAAAATGTAGGTGTCACTTAACCTTAGAGCCACGAAAAATAAAACAGGTTTATTAGAAAGGTCTATACATTTTTATGGGTTTTGAAAACTGGTCATTTTTATAAATTGCATATGAATGGCATAACTTGTTTAAGAAGACATGAGTTGTTTACAGAAGACATTATATAATATATTTACTAATGTGTGATTTTATCTAAGGGAAATTCGTATGCAAATAACGTATAAATTTCCCAATATTCAGTAGATTGAAATTTTTATTTGGAATTTCAAACTACTATAACTTTTCTTAAATTGCCTCTTTGCTATACTTAAAAATATTTTTATAGAAATCCACAGAATCTATCTTAAATTGACGAATTAGGAATAAGAATTTTTTTTTATACACGTACCCAAAAATGGAATCGGCATGAAAATCGAAATGCTAGTTCACAAAAACAAATTCTTGCCTTTCTACTCGATTCTCAACTAAAATAAAATTAATAATATAAAAAAATGAGTGCAATGGATGGGGCACTTTGTTTGTTATTCTGACATTAAAAGGAGAAAAGGAGTTTGGAAGTTAATAATAATAAATAAATATTTAAAAAAAAAAACAACAAAGCTGTCATTCAGGAAACTTTGTAACAAATGTAGCACTGTTAAAGAAAACAAAATCACGTTTGATTTAATAATAATTTATAAAACGAGCTCTATTTCTTAGCGCCTTATAAATTCTAAATTTTAAAAAAAAAAAAGCATGATGCCTAATTTTTTAGTCAGGCTTTTAGGATGAACTCTAATTTGAAAACAGACTGCACATGTTTAATACTTGATTAACTATAATTAAAATTGTAGACCTTTATAGGTATGTAAATGTATTTTAATACTATACAGTGTCATTATAGTCTTTAAACTTGTGTAGTTTAAAATAATAAATAGATAAAAATAGCGACATATGCGAACAATAGGAAGTAAGACTGGACCGGTTTGTGCGATTTTTATAACCGAATACTAATACGTGATTAGCCTTGGCCTTAGTTTAAAAGTCATACTTTTATTATAAAATATAATTTGAAAACATGAAAAGATTGCTCACGCTTGATACTTAGTGAGAACTCTATTAAAATAATAGACCTTAAAATTGATGCAAATGTAGTTTAATACAGCGTTATTAAGTCTTTAAATTTGTGAGTTTGAAAAAAAATAATTAAACAAAAAATACAGATAAATGCGAACGGGAAGTAATACTTCGGCTCATAATTGGCAAATTTTCTAAACATTGCGATATTTATAATAGAATAATGTAAGCTTCTAAGAATATTAGCCTTAACTATATGGATCATCAGATATATTGAGCGTAGCGATATTTCATAGATTCCACTAATTGTTATCGGTTAATGACACCATCTAATATTCTTTTAAAATTTTAGAAAAATTTACAATTTAGTTTTTTTAAAAATAAAATATACTTTGGTTTATTGTTGAACATATTTTTGCTCAGAGGGGGCACTTGACTTTCCCAGTGGGGGTCAGTGCCCCCCCCCCCCCCCCCCCCAAAAAATTTAAAATTTTTTTTTTTTAAAAATAAAATTAATTTTGTTTTTTTTTTAAAAAATTTTTTTCTCAGGGGGGGCCCTTTCTTTTCCCGGGGGGGGCCAGGCCCCCCCCCCCCCCCCCGATATATTAGCTGAAAGAAACCCTGAGTGTAATTATTTTCTTTCTATATGTCTTTAATTCTTGTTTTGTACCTTTCTTTCTTTCATACTTGTACATAATATATAACACTATTTAAATACTATGAATATGAATGTATAATCAACATCAGTGGTAATCTTCATTCATCTCATTTGTGAAAAAACTACAAAAAATGCTTGCATGGAACTGTGTTTGGTTGCTCCATGTATGCTCAGAGGGAAGAAGCAGGTCCACAGCAGAGAGAAGCACTGTTGCTCAAATAGTTCCAATCTTCTTGTCTGCATGGGAGGCTATGTTTACATTTTGCATCAGATTGTGGTCTCTGTGGTGTGTCATACCTTTGTTCAGGCATTTATCATTATATATCAGCTTTCTTTCTCTGTGTTTATGTATTTCCATTTGCACAATATTAAAATGATGCCTACACATTTTCTGAAGTAACAAACCTGCTAATTTAAGTCAAGAGCCCCCACTGATTATCAATCTCCTTATACTTAAAGGTTTAAAGAAATTTAGAAAGCAAAGTAAAAATCTGAGGGGTAATCTCTATGTTAGGTTTAACAGTTATATTAGAAGGTCTGTTAATTATGAAAAGGTTTTTAATAATATTTTTCACATGGAACTAATTTGTCACTTACATTTACTATTACAGGCCTACTTATTTCTCTCTCCGAATTCGTTAGCCTTTAAAATATATTTTTTTACTTTTAAGGGAAAACTTTATTTCTTTGACCAGATGCTATGTATGAGTTAAAGCAAAAGCCACTTTAATTTATAAATGTTTAATTTAGATAACATTCAAAGTTCATCACCAATCTTATGTGGAAGGTGTATGTAAATGGCCAAAACTACAAATGTTCGAAAACTTCGTTCCTCTGGTAAGTGTCATTTTCTGCTTCAGCTCTAAAGATGTCAATTATAAAATATATAATGCATTTAGTCCAGTCGGTAATTAAGATAGTGGGTTCCCCCCCCACCTACCAAATTTGTAGTTTAACTTTAAAAACACCAGCTGAAAGTATCCTTATATTCCTAACTGATATAAAAGTTTTTTTGTTTTTTTATTCATTAAGAAAATTTTATATATTTTATTGACATTACCATTTTTTTTAAAATTCAGATAATGGGAAAGACAAAACAGATGATATTGGCAAGCAGCATAAAGAAGATTTTACCAAGAAA